GGACTTTGAAATGAATTATCGGCAAAAATCACAAGTTTGCAGTGTCATTTTGGGAAAAGACAATACGAGTCCAAAATGACACTACGAGCAATAGTTGATTATCGACAAACATTTTGGAGTGTTGCTCATGAAAAATATTTCAATACAAATAAAATGTAGTAGGTTATACAAAAAAAAATTCATTTCGGAGACAAAGTGTCACTCAAGAAAATAACTGCAACTTACAACTAAATATAGTGAGTTATGGAGTAAATAAATTAGTTCCATTTTTTAGAATAATATATTGTGCAAATTCACAAATTTTGTAATATTACTTTGGGAAATCATTTACGAGATTTATCGATTGTCAAAAAAGAATTAATGTCACTCATGGGGAAAACACTTAAATTTGGTATTATATATAAAAAAACATGTTTTTCAAAAAAAACATTTAATTTTATATTTATTTATAGAGTTATCTAAAATAATCTCATCTTTCATTTGTTTGCGAACAAGCAAACTTTTCTGAAAGATTTGTTAAGTGATTGTTAGTTTCCTAAGGGTGACCCAAAATTCACACAAATATAGAAATGTGAGATTATTTCTATGATAGTGAAAAATGAGATTATTTTTCAAATAACACAAAATAGAAGAATTGTTTGAGACAATTTTTCCTAAAAGAAATTAAGAGTAATGTATTACTCCCTCTGTCCACCATAGATCTTCCCAGACACTATTCACAGGGTCAAACTTTAATCACTTTGTTTGCTAATTTTTACTAGTCATTTCATAAAATAATATAGTCTTGTCACCTCTAGTTTTGTAGAACTTTTCATATAGTTTATTACTATATAAATTTTATTTTATAATTTTACTCCTAAAATGAATTGAAAATAAAGTCGATCAAGCCTCGTAACGCGTAATGGGAAGATCTTACATGGACGGGGGTATTATATAGAAGAGATTGTTCCTCACTCGTATTTATGCTTGAAAAATGCATGGATTAATGATAAGTCTAATATTTATTCCTACTTGTTAATTTTTAAAAAAGTTATTGACTTGCACTTTTGTACTGTACTATTTAAGTGTGCATTATTTATTAATACTTACTCCGTCCCAGAAAATTTTTCTCTTTTCTTTTTTATTCATCACAAAAAACTTTTTTTATTTCTATTAAAAAGTCATTTTTAGCCTTATTAATTTTTAATCTACCTTTCACATATGTACATCATGTCTATTCACTATTAATCTACTCATTAAATCTTACTTTATCCATCATACTAAAAGATATTTTTAGAAACTCAACACCAAAATACAATTCTCTTAAATTTCTTAAAAATCAAAATCTTTCATGGTGAATTTGGACTAGTTTGGAATAAATGATTTATTTTAGGGTCTAATTACAAGTGAAAAGATTGAATTCCAAACTTGATGAAACTCCTAGGGCCATTTTTCAAAGTGAAATTTGCGAACTAAAACATAATGACTTTCCTAATCTAGGAATTAAATTTTTTTATTCTCTAAATAGGACTTATTAATGTCTTAGTGGAAGGATTAATGTCTAGTAATGATGGATATTTACTTGAATAATGACTAATTCATAATGACCAAAAGTTTAAATTGGAAAATAAAAACATATGATCCTATATTGAGAAAATTATTATGTTTTAGTTCTATTTAAGTAAATTATTCTTTTTCAAAACTTATTTATTGATCTATAATCCCAGACTCAAGGAGTAATTGCGCTGACCAATTCAGGTAGCAGCCTCCCGTGACGACATCCACACCAGCAGCGCCCTCACAGCTAGTGGCGGATCCAGAACTTTAGCTAGATGGGGGCACCATTAGTCGGGGTCCGGGGACAACGCCCCTGGATTTTTTAATAGACAATATGAATTAACAAAAAATACCAGAGTAATAAATTTTGTTTCGAACATTTCTGTTTTGACTTGGGAAAGATTTATTTTCGTAGTTTGACCTTCTAATTATATTTTTATCATCAAATAAAAAAGAGAGAAAAATCATTTAAATGACTTATTATATCGATTCAAATTGAATTGAGTATATTGCAACGACTTAATTTAGATATATTAGTCATTTTTTACAAAAATGAAAGTGTTTTAGGGGAAAAATTAAATAGAAATTGTTTTAAGAAAAAGAGGAAGTATGTAATAAAATAAAATATATTAAAAAAATTAAATAAAAACTTCTAAACCATCTTAATTAGATGTGGTCTTATTAATTTTTGTTGGGGGTACACATACATAATTTTTTTAAAAAATAATTTTAACTTAAAAAATAAATTTAGTAAGGGGCATTAGCCCCAACTCAACTCTTATGAAGTAGATCCGCCACTACAGTCACAGCTCTATACTAGCGCCACCCTTCCTTCGTATCCAATTCTAAAGGTGACGAACAACAGCGAGGCTTGAGGCGACGAACGACGACGGCCACAGCTCTAAAGGGCGGCGATGACTACAGAATGCTTCCCCGCGGGTTGGCTGCGGGCCTCGACCAGCGATCCTGATACGAAGAAATGCACAGAGGCTCTATGGAAGAATCAGCGCCGGTGTTCAATTCTAATTGGGGTGCGAAATTATGATTTTATTTTTGATCTGGGTAATTTTAATGTCATCGGCTATTTTGTTTAATTGGATTTACTTAAATCCGACAAAAATTGTATTAGACGTTGTCTAATGAATTAGAAGGTACGGAATGCGCACTCGTTCAATGATATTATAATTTCATAGAGGGGTCTAGCGGCGGCAACCCACAACCCACAGGTAGCGAGGTTCAAGGGGCGGAGACCCCTAGCAGGGTCCAAAGAGCAGAGCCCCTGGCCGGGACCGGGGTATGAAAATCCTTCAGTTTTTCTTGATTTGAGTCCAAAATGTTAAAAGATTTAGATGTGAAGATAAACACCAAAATAACCCCAAAACCTCAAGAATCCTTTCGTGCGAATGTTTGTTTCCTTAAGAAAACTTTCGCGCTTTTCTGGACTTTATCTCCTCGCCGGAATGCTTGCGTCTTGCGCGAACGTTCGCGTCTTATGTGAACATTCATGTCGGATAATCAATTTTCGACTATATAAATAGAGTCTCGTAGGTATGGTTGAGAAATCTGATTTTCATTGCTTTTTCTTGATTAATGTTTTATCAGATTAAAGTATTTCGTATACCACGAAATATCTTTGATCTGGAAGCTGAAGAATTGTATTTTCATTGATTAATTATGTGAGTACATGTATATATATACATCTCAATCCTAGTTATGGTAGGAGAGGTATTCACTACAAAAAAACTTGACATTTTGTGGCACCAAATTTTGTCACAAAACATAAAAAATTAGCCACAATAGTTATTTGTAGCAATTTTGAAATTTGCCACAGATACCCCGTTACAAAAGTTATCTGTGGCAAATTTAAATTTGCCACAAAAATTATAGTTTTGTGGCAAATTATGATTTGCCACTAATAAAAATTTGCCACAAAAGGTCATGTTTAGTGGCATATATTAGTTGCCACAATTTATTATTTGCTACAAAAAGTCATATTTGGTAGCAAATTTATGATGCCACAAATTATACTTTGCCACAAAAATCCATGTTTAGTAGCAAATTTTAATTGCTACAATTATCACTTTTTTGTGGCAAACCTAATATTAGTGAGAATAAAATTATTATTATTATTATTATTATTATTATTATTATTTTTATTATTATTATTATTATTATTATTATTATTATTATTATTATTATTATTATTATTATTATTATTAGTAATAGTAGTAGAAGTAGTATATTTGTATTGTACATACATTTTACATTTAATAATATATGCAAAGTGATGTAAAATAATAATAAAAACAAAACATATATGCTACTCATAATTCAATCCCAAACAATCAAAGATTCACAATTATTAATATAATAGGGTTTTGACATAAAATAAATATAGTACTAAACATGACAAAATTGTTAAAGTATCCTAAACGCTTAACATCTAAGCTTCATCTTTTCATTTCATCTTGTCACATCACCCAAAGTCGTAGAAACTGAATGACATCTCTCATATTCACCCTTGATCTGCATATTAAAAAAATAAAATTAATAAATAAATAATCTAGTTAACAGATAGGAACTGAAGATTCAAAATTGGCCGCCTCAGCAATTCTGGATGGTGAATGTAGTGACCCAAACTACCATTATTTGATCTTTTACCTTCATACTCTACTTAAGTGTCCTATATGTAAATGCAGTAGGGCCAGAACCAGAATGAAAACCTAATGAAGCTAAATGATACAATATTTTCCTTTCTATCTAACCCTAACTTATTGAGTGGAAAAAAGGCAGAGCTTATAAAAAGTACTCTGTATGTATGGTGCAAAACAAAAACTAACACTTTAGTTAGAAGCCCCCAATTGCACTAAAACCTAAGACTGAGCCGTTAATTGTGTATGTGACCTCTATCCAAGATCTTTAGCACAAAGAAATAAACAAAACAAAAGCACGAACACAAATTCTCAAATTGAAGTCCACATCAACCTCGCACAAATGACAGAGATCTTACTTAGACCGAGTGAGGTTGCCGCACCTGATGCACTTAGGCTTATTAAGCCCTCGGAGATTCTTCGTTGAGTTAATGTTAGAAGGGGAGGAGACTCCGGTGGCGGAGGGATCCATGATGGAGTTGTTTAGGGAAGGAGAAGATGCCTACCAATGGCACTATACCTACTGTACCTAATGTGATTGACCCTCCCATTTAGACAATAGATATTAAAAATATTGAGGGCCTGGAGGGCATACACACTACCATGCCTATTAAGGATGAAGATATATGTGCTGCCACAACCTCTCTAACTATTAACCAATTTGGTCCCTTAACTAAACATTTGGATCCAGACAATACTCCTCATCATGTTTGTTTAAAACCTGAAGCTGCTGCTGATTCATCCACCCTGAAATAGCTAGGCAGCCAGTATACAACTTCAAGGGTAACCACATGGAAAACAACTCTAAGTGTTCACATACAACTTCAAGGGTAACCACCCCTGAAATAGCTGGGCAGCCACATGCAACTCCAAGTGTTTAAACTCACATCCCATGAACAAAGAATTGTTACAGAAATAAAACGGGCAGTTACGTCAAATGGATTGACATCAGACCAATCAAACATATTTTGCATGACAAATAGTGCGGAAAACAAGGCCATAAAATGTACAAAGTGGCGAACTGTACAAAGTGATTCACCACAAAATGAGAGCAGCTAATTAAGTGGGAAGCTAATGAGAAGAAAAACAAATGTAAAGGGGATTATGCCTAGCCACGACATGCAAGTGTAGGCTATTACTTTTTTATGAAACATGGTATCACAACACCCACCCCGTTTAGAATATTTAGATATACTTCGGGGTATTAACTTGTTACCAAAAAGGGCTTATTTTACCCTCATGTTTTTCTACATATTGACATATTTAGATGGATCAATCACGTTTCTTCTTTTTGTGATTGGGCCTGTTCAGTACGTATTATCTTTGGGAAATTTAAAAAAGAGTTAAATGACACTAATAATAAATATTTCATAGATGAATCACTACCTTGTATCATTCAAGGGGCTATGCTCCTTGGAAGTGAAATGAACATACTGAGATGAATTACCCGATGCCATGTATACAAAACCTAGCTAGGTCGATAAACAGTAATGATATGCATCTTAAAATACATAAAAATGTACGAGAACTATATATACCTCTGGACGTGTTAAAGAAGCCAATCTTTCCTCTTAGGGTAATGTTGCATCCCACTCATATACCCCAGATAGATTCTGCACAACCTACCTTCAGGCCACAAATACTCAGAGAAGTCAAAGTCTTAGTGTTCAAGAGCTATGACTCATTTCAGGTGGAAATTATTCCACCTAGAGTAACAAAAGAAGAAAATAATATCCTCCTGCCCCAATTTCCCACCAGGCAGAATCCCCCCTGACCATATCATCCTGTCCCAATTATACCTTATGGCCACTAACTAGTACGTGTAAACACTGCAATCAGCACTAACAGATGATAGAAGTCAAAATAAGCTCATTTTGGAGCGACTACTGTAGGAACAATACTATGAGGTGATGATATATATTTCCCTCAAGATTACACTGCTCAGTTTGATGACATTCTAGAAAACATCCCAAACATTATTACCGAAGAAGATAACTCAGTGTTTAAGGTCATTCCTGAATATGAATTAGTTAGGAAAGCTGTTTGGCAAAATAAACTTCACACCATTTTCTCCTTTGAAGGAAAAGATGCGGCTCAGGATATTTCTCATTTTTCTAAACAAATTTCTTAATTCTGGATTCTTAATGGCATTTGGTACCCTAAGCCTATATAGATGAGAATGCTTGGGGATAGAACTCATAATCTCAATAAAGTCTTAACAGATTCAAATAGTTAAAAATAATCTCTTATCAAAGTGGAGCCATGAACCTTTTTTTATTATTTCAAAATCAAATGAAAATAGCGATACGCTCTAAAAAAAAGTCAAGGATAAGCTTCCACTCTAGAAGCGGTAGCTTCCCGCCTCCTTCGGTGAGAAGTTCCCTTCCCTTTTCTAAAATGACTGATTGGTCTGCTCAGCAGAGGTACAAAGTGGACTGCAGTTTGGCTGACCCTCTTCTTCCCATTGGGTTGGGTTGACCCAGAAGTATAGTAAGAAGGAATGGAACCACTGGAGAGTCGTCTGCAGTTCACACTTGGGCAAAAACGACTGACTTTTTGGAAGCGGAACACAAACCGATTTACGCTATTCCGGGTTCTTATTGAGCGTAGCGAAATCAAGGTTTATGATAAAGTAAGTGAAGTTTCAAGGGTGTTCTACCTTTGCGTAGTCTCGGTTCACAGTGGTTGGCTCCACACCTGAGCCTCGTTAGATCAGCTGAAGTGTAAGCTATAAGTGAAGAGAATAAAAGAGATGAAGTCCGTCACTTAGCCTAGTCTATATCCACAGCTGACGCAACTCCGTACTGATGCCTCACTACTACAACAAACAAACACTTAATGGCTAAGCGATTTCATAAGCTAAGCTTTCCTTAACCAGCTGACTCTCACAGTCCCACAACTTCTACATGATGGCCTAATTTCAAAAGTATGTTTTTGAGATGCAGCAAGCAAAGCAGAGAAACCCCACCTCAATTTTGACTACCATGCCGGCTGCCACATTATGAATTCTGTACATCTCAAAACAAACCCTAACTAGACCTCCGTCAACTCGAAAACTCAATTGAAGCATCTCCATCTCAACAAGTAATATGCAGCTTTCATAGAAATCACAGCATTTAAACAATTTGCACAGATATTTGACAGAAAATATGCAGAAACTCACTCTGCATTTAATAAAAAATGAGTGAATACTGAAAAACCAAACATACATTGAGCAACAACAAACAGATATGAGATTTCTCTATGTAAAAATTCAAAATGTTACTGATACTTCCTTCAGAATAGAGTTTATGTTCAGCAAATATAATATACTCCTTAAGCTACGTTCAGCAAATATAATATACTCCTTATGTTCAGCTAATATAATATACTCCTTAAGTTATGTTCAGCAAATATAATATACTCCTTAAGTTATGTTCAGCAAATATAATATACTCCTTAAGTTATGTTCAGCAAATATAATATACTCCTTAAGTTATGTTCATCAAATATAATATACTCCTTAAGCTATGTTCAGCAAATATAATATAGCTCTCAATTCTGGAAACAACACAAGTAGCTTATGCTAAATCTCATACTTTGTTTTTTAATTACAAAGAGTAATTAAATTAATAGATTAAAATCCCAAAACCACATTCCCAACCCCAATAACAGAAGGATCAGTCCCAAACAGTGTATTTCTAGTCTGCCATTTATGAATTCCCTTCCAAACTTTAAGGGAAGAACAATAGAAGAAGTAGAATGAAGCAGCAACACACATACAAGATGTACACAGACATTAACTCTTATAGATCAAAACAGAATTTCTAAAACAATTGAAATTAAAACCAAAATTTAACTATGAAGAGTTAACATCTGCAATAATCCAAATTAATATTCTAAAACTTTATGATCGAATTTATACGATTTTGAAAACCTAAAAAAAATAAGAATAAAATACATACCTGCTCTAAACTTGTAAGAGGTGTGTCGTCCTTCAAGAAGAAAGAGAATCGAAGAAAAAGGAGGCGATTGAAGAAGGAGGCGTTTGAGAAGAGAGGTTACAGATAGATGAGGCTGAAATCGTGGATGAATTGAGGGATTATAATCTGTATTTACCCTGTAGGCGGGATTCTCGAAATACTCCCCAAAAAATACTCCGTATATTTCAACTTACTCCGTATAAAATTAACCCTTTTAAAAATTTCCCTCCTTAAAAGTTTAGATATAGTGGCAATTTTATAAAATTGCTACAATAAGTATATTATTTTGTGGCAAATTTTAAATTGCCACAAATATTAATAGACTATTTATATATTGTGGCAAATAGTTATTTTACTACTAAAAATTAGCCACAAAAGGTCATATTTTTTGTAGTGATTCTAGGAAAGCTATACAAGTATGGAAACAAATCATAATACAATAATATTAAATATATTTTATATATTTAAGAGAAGCGCTTAACACAATTCGTTATACTTTATCAAGTTATTCTTTTCGTTCTTTGTTTACGCTACTCCTCAGCGTTCTTCCTCCATTCTAATATCGAACATAGATCAAAGTTAATACTAAAGTTAATTTCGACGAACAGAAGGATGGCGCATTGGCGATTCAGTAAGAGATTTGAGCAGCAAGTTTTCAAAGTTGGAAAAGTTCAAAGGCCAGGACTTTCGTCGATGCCAGAAGAAGATGCACTTCTCAAAAAAACTAAAGGTTGTGTAAGTACTAAGCACGCCTATGCCAAAGATCATGGATGATGAAAGACTGAAACACATAAGGAAACGGTGCAAATGGGAGAATGATGTCTACATCTGTCGTGGTCATATTCTAAATGGTATGTCTGATTCTCTGTTTGATGTTTACCAATTTATTAAATCTGCGAAGTTACTTTGGGACACTGTAGAGGAGAAGTATATAGCCGAGGATGCTTCTAGCAAGAAGCTTCTTGTTAGTAATTTCAATCAGTACAAAATGGTCGATTCTCGACCTGTCATGGAATACAAAGTACGAAGACTGAAGATAGCATTCAGAGGACTTGTTTACTTTTTTAAGTTGATGATTCTCACAACTTAAAAAAGTGGAGAACTTCTTGATGGGAAGTAATATGTTGCTCGATCCACATTTCCCAATTATTTACGAAGAATACTCAAATCGGGCCTGTTTAGTAAAATGAAGGAGTAAAAGAATATTCTTCCGAAGATGCTCCCCCTCCTTCCTATAAAAGGAGAAGTATTCCACCAAGAAGGGGAGGCCAATTTCATTCTTCTCCCTGCCCAATTACTGTTTCTCTCTCTAGAATATTGTATATTGTATATTTTAATTGTTCAAAGAAGCTTCAAGCTTCCATAAATGGATTGTGAGCCCAAATCATGTGCCATGTACAACCCTCCGATATTAATAAAAATCCCCCGTTGGCAAGATACCGCCAAAAAATGCCCGTGATTTTCTCCCGATTTGGATTTCCACGTCAAAATCCTTGTGTTTATGTTTTGGTGTATTTTTTTAGACTACTTTATCGTTTTTGCCCGGCTAAAAATGATATACCGGTCGATAATTTACACCATCACATATGACTAAATTTTACTACGTATTCACTTTCTTTAATTATTACTATTTATTTGATAAAGTAATATAATAATGTAATCTTTGATTTCAATTAGTTTTAATATGTAATTTTTATTTTTTAATTCCACCCAGTCTTCAAATAAATTAAATTAAAAATAAATTTAGTCAAACATCGTAAACTGACAAGTATGCAAGTTAGCTATATATATCTACATTAAAATAGTACACATGACAAACATCACTTCAAAGGCTATCATTAAAGTAGGAAGAAGATAAGGAATGAATTTAGTTAGAGAAATAAAGAAAATAATCTTAAAACAATAAATGAGTTAATTGCTTGGATTAAAATCTAGAAATAAAAAATTCGATAAATTAGGGACTTCAAGTTTTTACTTTAGAGTTTAGAGTGACACTTGGTTAATACTCAAACCTTTTAAAAGAATAGTAAAGTATGAGAACAAATACTTAGTAATTACAAGTTCAATTCAAATATATTAGATTTCATGATGTATCATGTATGCATGTATAATCCAATAAATCATTAAGAAGATAGGACTCATAGGAGAATAAAATTAATAGGTTAATTTGTCTTTTCTTTTATGAGTGTGGTTGGTTAGTAACTTTTTTTCTTCAAGGGCAAAACATAGAAGTGAAACTCATACGAAATAAGAGAAAAGTGCACAGTTTACCCCCGAATTATTTGAAAATTGCATGGTTTACCCCCGAACATCAAAAAGTGCACCAAATACCCCTAAATTTTTCAGAAATTGCACGGTTTACCCTTGAACAATAAAAAATGCACCAAATACCTCTGAACTCTTCAAAAATTGTATTGTTTACTCCTAAACATTTAAATAAAGACGATAATTATGGGTAAAGTTACATTGGAAAATTCACAAGGGCCAGATGAATCATATTCGCAATTCTTGTACGTGGAAGCAATGCACTCCCTATCTAATAGTTTAGGACCAACGATGCAACAGTTTAATTTGTTCAAGGGTATTTGGTGCATTTTTTAGTGAGCAGTGGTAAATCGTGCAATTTTCGAAGAGTTCGAGGGTAATCGGTGCACTTTTTAAAGTTCAGGGGTAAAGCATGCAATTTCTAAAGAGTACGGGGGTAAACCATGCACTTTACTCTACGAAATAAATACAAATGCAAAAAACAAAAGTGAAGAATCTAGAGAGGAAAGTTATGTCCAAATATAGGGGATAAGTGAACCAATAATTGATAAAGCCAACAAATGTATCGGATTTTCTTTATCTATTGATAAGTCGGGTTTTGTTTGGTTCTTTTTATTCTTTTTTAGGCATTTTTAATATTTTTAGAGTTAAATTTTTAGTTGTTTAGTTTAGTTTTATTTTAATTCTCATTTTTACAATCTTTTAATTTTCTTTTAAAAATAATAGGTTTTTAATTATTTTTTAACATTTTATTATTGTCTTCATTTTATTTTATTTTTCCTAACCCAAAATTATCAGATAGCTTATTTTTTGGAGAAAAGTGTAGCAAAAGGCTAAAACGAAGTTCAAGTTTAAAAGGAAGAGATTGAATTTGGGCCGGAGCCCAAACCCAACAAGCAAGCCCAAACTCTCCCCCTCCTTCCTTAGTTTCACGCAAGAGTGAAAAGAGATGTCAGCTGTTCTTTCTTCTTCGACTTCTTCTTCAACGGTGATGGAAGACCCGCTCCAAATCAAAGCTCCAACGTTCGGCCTAAAATCTCGCCCCTCATTCAAATCTCCAACGGATATACGATTCTTGCTATAAATTGGCGATGAGTCGAAGCTCCAAAGGAGGGGGAAATATGACGCAGAGAGCCGCGGCTCTAGGCCGCGGCAACTGAGATTGAAGCCGCGCACCAGAGGAGGAAGCAGACGGTGGCGGACGGCCTGCAGACGCGAACCGGCGGCAGCAAAAGCTCCGGCGAGTGGTGGGCAGTCTTCTTCAAGCTCCAATTTCTTCAATTTCATCTTCTTCTTCATCAATTGGTAACCCTATATATTATTTCTTCAATTTTTATCTCCAATTCTTTGTAAAGTGTTGTTTTTAGTTTAATTTTTACATTTTGTTTGTTTGAGTTAATTTCGAAAAATTCCAAAAATGGTTGGTGTTCTTCTTTTTGGGTTTTGTTTTAAATGTTTATATATAATCCCTTATGAATGAGAATTGATTCTTTTTTATTTACTTCAATTATTGAACAAGTTGTTGTTGATTTGATTGAATTGTTTCAATTTCGTAAGTAGGTTGGTATGTGAAATTCAGTTTTTGTTGAAGCTATTTTAGCCCCATAAGATAGTTAAATGAACTCCGAATTCATACGTGTTTCTTTGTTGTGCTTGTGTTCGTTGATTTTTAAGGAATTTGGACTTCTTAGCCCCATAAGTTGATTCATTTTCCTTGGAACTCGTTATAAAGTGATTTTGTTATGTTATATGTTTGTTTTTCATTTTCTTGATTTATTGAAAATACGTTGTGTTCTTCTATGTGAATAGAAAAAACGTCATTGGTTTGAGGAGTTTATGGAAATATGTGAAATGTGCTCATTATTAGGAGAAAAAGTTTGTTAAAATGCATAAGGTATTGGCGGTTTGTGAATATATTATGCATGAGAGTTAGAATGAAAAAAAATTCTCTCTTTTATAAACTTTTTCTTTAGTGGAAGTATGTTTTCATGCTTGATTGGTGAGTTGGGGTTCTAAGGTATATTTCAAAATGGGCCTTTGAATTGCATGACTCCGGGCCGTGTGGAGAGTTGACAATCCTCCATATCGTGGTTAAGGAAATGAATCGACTCGGCCTTTGATTTTTTTTTCCTATTCTTAAGTGCGTAAGTTACGTAATATATTGTCTATGTGCCTATTACGTGTAATGTTCAACTCGTGTTTGTTCTCTTTTCATTTTGTTTCGGGTTCTTGGCGGTGTTTCGTGGGCTACCTTAGTAGGAGAAGTTGATTATCTTTTGAGCTTGTTTTCCCCCATTTTATCAAAAAACCAAAAAAATAAGAAAATACATAAAAACCAAAAATATTTACTTTTCATTCAACCCCTCTCCCTCCTTTTTGTTTATATTTATATAAGTTTTTTTACTAAGTTATATTATAAGTTCTTTGTTTATATAAGTTATATTTATAAGTTTTTATATTTATTTAGTTATAAGTTTTATTATGTGTGTAGTAGTTAATTTTATTTTTTAGTGACAATGTGTTTGCATGCTAAATTGGTTTTAAAAAGTACAAACTTTCTCTGTGGGATCGACCCTTACTTGCCCTAGCTATAGTTTTAAATTGATTATATATTAGGAGTTAGCTAAGGATATTTTATAAATTTTTAATTTGTTTTGGACTGCACGACAAGTCTTCAACATCTATACTGATTAATGTTAAACAATTTTGATCTCAAACCTCATTAGTTACTTGAATATATGGACAACTTATTTCATTTTTTCCTTTTTACCTTCATAGATTTTAGTTCTTTTCGTTTCGGTTTCTCTATAAAGTCAATGATCTTACTTCATCAATCAACATGAGTTTCTGAAAAAACACTTTATATGCTAAACCATAAATAATGGGAAACAAAATATTTTCATGAAATCTAACATAACAAACATCTTTTGATTTTAGATTCACAGATGGTTTGACTTTAGTTGACACTAAAGTTACCGGAGCACTGGTTCAGCTCTAGGTGGTCACGGTAGTCACTCCCTCTATTCTTTGCGACCTCTGCTTGCTGTTGCACCTTTGCTGCAAAAGTATTGAGTTAGTTTATTTTTATTCAAGAAGAGAATAGTTGGGTAGAGAAAAGTTCTTTGCACATATGCTCATTCTCACCGTAAAAAGTAAAAGATCGAGCACACATGTTGGTCCATGCTCCATCTTCCAAATAAAACATCCTAATAAATCTCCTGTAGGGACAAACTTATTCAAGCTAAAGAATGCAAATGATAGCAGCATGATGATTTAAAAAAACAACCTCAAATGTTTAGGCACGTACACTCCAGAAGCTCAGCAGACTAAATGAAATGGCTACTATTTAGAATAATAAAGTTTAATTTTAATGCATATAAAATTGTTAGAAAATGATCATTGAAAGCATATTGATTTACATTACAAATAAAAAGATTAAAGAGATGTGAAGAGTGCACATTCCATGATACGAAAACAAAATTACAATAATATTTTGACAACCAAGCTCTTATATTCCCCCGTTTAACCCTTGGAGAGACATGTTCTTAATAGATATTATTGCTTACCTAATTTAAATTTTCTCACTACCTGCAAGCTACTGTGTAATATTAGAAATTTCCAAAAAAAACACAATAGCTAAAAATCACCATAACTGAAATGAGGGTAATGAGTTTGCATAGTACTATAGAAGCAAATTTTGACATAAAATGAGCTATGCAGCTTATATTATCGGTAGATTGGATGACATCAAACTCCAAAATTGAATTTATAACATGTCCTTCAATTAAAATAGAATACAAAACCATTTATATCTCCCTCAAATCTTTCAAGTTTCAATACTACCCTTAATCTGAAATAAGAAAATAAAAATCAATGAAATAATTGTATGTACAATAAAAAGCTAATAACATCAAATTGTAATAACTTTAAAAAAAACACATCTTTTAGAAACAAACTGAAAAAATCACATCTTTAAACAAACTTGGATAATGAGTTATTGCACGGTGGATTTGTAAAGCTCTCTCTAGCATGTGTGTTTTGAAATAGATGTTTAATTCACATCTCCTTAATAATCAATGGTTAAACACAGAGTAAATTGATAAATGAAATCCACCTTCTCCCTAGTTTGTGTTCCTTAATATCTTCATGTACGTAAACATGAATGTAGATAGAATCAGAAAGCAGACAGTCGGGGAGGAGAAACTGTTAACAGCGGGGCTATGGCTTGGAAATCCAGCCCCCGACCAAGGATTCAGAGAGCTGCGAGCGGAGGGAGTAATAGAGCGTGAAAGAGGAATAAAAATGGCAACATTGAGTAGTTGTGTTGTGAGATCCTCTACGTTATTCGATTTGTGCGTATGCCAGTTGCTATCCATGCTGAAGCAATTCCCGCCTAAAATACCATTCTACTTTTGTATATAGTAAGGCTCCATAATGAAATTTTGTATAGGATCAACTTTCACCATCTAGGAAATTAAAAGCCACATAAAAAAACATAAAGTAAAAAATAAATAAAGTTTACACGGAAAGAACTCTAACACTAAAGAGTGATGTAAACTTCCACATAGTGAAACAAAGTGGTTTACTCATAATCCAATTAATCAGTATGCTGTATACACTTCTTCAATGATCGAGCCTGCTCCATCCACAGTTTCAATGAATCAAAAAATAAATTGAAATATTGAATAATCCAAATTTAAATAACTATTTTCACTAATAAATATTAGAAAGGAAGTGAAATAGCATATCTATGGAGAAATTAAGAAAATTGATTCACAACATTGAATAAAGAAGGGGAAAGGTTGCTGGCTTAACAGAGCTTCCTCGGATTTTTAGACTTCGAGCTGGAGAGGTTACGTAGACGGTTTTTAGGACCATCTACAATAAAACTCCTTGAGTTACTCTTGTAACTGAAAACCTTTTATTTATTTGTTAAATGATGGAAATAAATTCCCTTGAGGGAAATAATTCATAGCGGAAGTAAATAAGAGAAAGAAAACGTTAAGTCTGGAATGAAGTAAATATAACAACGGTGGGTTCAAGCCCAAAACAGTTTATAATATATTGAAGGAAAGCAAATCGCGTTAAGGCCATCGCCTATCCTCTGCTCCAATCTCCCAATCAGCCGGTCAGGCTCCATGATCATCTCACCTACCTGCGTATAGCAAAAACAACGCTATACGCTCAGCAAAAGTTGAGTGGTAATCTAACAGTAGAATGCATAGTGCATTCACATTGATATAAACATAATTGTACCTGTACTAAAGTACGGGATACCACATACAATTTTGATAAATAAGAGTTGCAAATATAGAGTAATGCAATGCCAAATAATCCATGATGCATGAGTTGGACTGCGCAGGACCCCCTGCCCTTTGGTGATCCTCCCCACGCGGTGATGAGCCGAGGAACACCTTAGTCTCCGAAAGGAGCCTAGAAACTGTGGGTGGTAACTGAATTCCTAGTTACCATGTACGCACACAAGTCCTTCTAATGAAACCCGTTGGATCCGGAAGGCTCTTGGAAGGGCCTGCAGAAGAGGCACACTAGGCCTGACCTCTTGTTGCAGTATGCAAAGTATGTCATGATCCTAAACATGCGTCTAGGATATACATGATGATATGAATGCATTGCTTGAAAATAAGGTTAAGTTCAACACATGCATATTAGTTTGATTCCGTATGAAAATGGTTCGTTTCTCAACATGATGGCCCCGAGTTCAAAACTGGCTGATAATAGATTATTCGTTGGTGATAATCAATTATCAAGCATGGCAGTTCCTACCCCAAGGTTCTCCAGCCTCTAATAGTTGGTTGTCCCCAAGGTGTCAATCGATTGTAACGTTGGCCTGTCTGGAAACCCAGTTCAGAGAGGCCTAATAATCGATTATTTCTCTGTGATAATCGATTATCATGTGAAACCAGCTCTGGCTCAAGAATCTGAAGGGTCTGATAATCGATTATCACCCATGTGATAATCGATTGTCACACTCTCCTGTTAAAACGAGAAGTTCAGCATGGTCTGATAATCAATTATCATGTCCTGTCAATCGATTGTCAATCGATTACCAGAGCACGCACGTTCCTGTTCGGCCTGTTTAATTGTCATCAATATGTTGAAAGTTTTGAAATGAATGTTTATGTTTTCTTGTAAGGTAGTGTTGGGGACTTGTCGTGCGGTCCAAAACAAATTAAAATTTATAAATAACCTTAGCTAACCCCCAAAATAGAATCAAATAAAAACTATAGCTAGGGCAAGTAAGGGTCGATCCCACGGAGAAAGTTTGTACTTTTGAAATCAATATAGTATGTAAACACGTTGTCACGAAATTAAATAAAAAACTACTACACATATAATAAGACGTATAAAACTTATAATAAAACTATAACTAAATAAATATAAAAACTTATAAATAACTTATATATACAAAGGATTTATAATATAACTTATAAAAGTAAATAAAGTATAAAAACGTATATTTTTTGGTTTTTTATATTTTTCTTATTTTTTTGGTTTTTTTTGATAAAAATGGGGAAACAAGCTCAAAAGATAATCAACTTCTCCAACTAAGGTAACCCAAGAAACACCGCCAAGAACCCGAAACAAAATAAAAGAGAGAACGAACACAAGTTGAACATTACACGTATGATAGGCACGTAGACAATATATTACGTAACTTACGCACTTAAGAATAGAAAAGAACTCAAAGGCTTGAGTTGATTCATATCCTTGACCACATATAGAGGATCGTCAACTCTCTATAAGGCCCGGAGTCAAAGATTCAAAGGCCTTTTGGTTACTTTGAACCCCCACTCACCTCAAGCGCTCAAATAATGATTCCAAAAGATGAAAAAGTTTATAAAAGAGCGAATCTTTCTTTCATTCTAACTCCCATGCACAAAGTATTCATGAAGAACATTTGATACACTTTAATAAACTTTAACGTCTAATGATGAAAATATTTTGCAGGTCTCCTTGAATAACTCAAGCATAAGAATTGTAATCTATTCACATAAAAAAACATTACATATTTTCAAAAACTTAAAAATTGTTTTTGTGCTTAAACAACCTTAAATTTTATGAAAATCAACACAAAATAAACGAACAACATAACAATCACTTCATAACGAATCTTAAGAAAAATGTCCAATTTATGTGGCTAAGAAGTCCAAAATCCTTAAAATTTTACAAAACACATAGCACAATGAAGAATCACGTATGAATTCAGAAATCATTTAACTATAATATGGAGCTAAAATAGCTTCAATGAGAACCAAATTCTACATACCAACCTACTTATGAAATCAAACCATGCGATTCAACCAATTAAACAACAATTTGCACAATAATTGAAGAAAACTAGTATGAATCAATTTTTATTCATAAGAGATTTAATATAAACAAAAAACCCATAAAAGAACACCAACCATTTTAGAATTTTCGAAATTAACACAAACAAGAAAAAAAAGTGTAAACTTGAATTGAAACAACACTTTTACAAAGAAATTGGAGAAGAAAAAGAAATTGACAAATACAGGGTTACCAATTGTTGAAGAAGATGAAGAAATTGAAGAAAATTGGAGCTTGAAGGAACTGCCACACCTATCACCGCCGACCATCGTCGAACGTCGGCGAGCCGTCGTTGGCCTCCGTCTGCTTCCTTCTCCGGTGGCGTCAATTGCAGCGGCCTGGTGCGATGCCCTCTCCTCTTGTCAGCTGTGATTTGTCTTCAATTTATAGCCGAAGGATTGTTCCGTTGATTTCTTCCCGTTGGCAATTGATTCTAGCGATTAATGTGGAGAGCGTTGGAGCGTTGAAGGAATTGGTCCTTGGCCTTGGGTGTTATCTTCCGTTCTAGAGTTGACGAAGAAGGAGAAAGCCAATCTTTTTTTCTTTCTTGCGTGCGGGAGATTGAATTGAGGAGAGAGAGTGCTGGGCTGGTCTCTTTTTGTTGATGGGTTTGGGCTTCGGCCCAAATTCAATATCTTCTTTTCAAAGTTGAACTGCATTTTGGTCATTTTGCTACATTTTTTTCCAAAAATAAGATATCTGATAATTTGGGATAGGAAAAATAAAATAAATAATAGAATGCAAAAAGAATGATTAAAAGCTACTATTTTTGAAAGAAAATAAAAAGATCGTAGAAAATAAGAATTAAAATAAAACTAAGCTAAACAACTAAAAATTAAACTCTAAAAATATTAAAAATGCCTAAAATTGAATAAAAAGAACCAAACCAAACCCGAGTTATCAGGTAGTCTATGAGTTTACGGAGTTTCAAAACGTCTATATTAACAAGTTCGTAATCGAAAAGTCTAAATAACGGAAAAGTCATGATAATGCAGACACACGTAGGTTTAGCCGGGTGATCCTATGAATATAACGATATGATTGAACTACGAATTCTAAATTTAGAGGGCAACGTACTCGCCTCTAACACAGGGATTGACGGAAGGTACGGGATGAACGAACGGATGACAACGAATGGATGATGAATGATGAACGACTTCTTTGGATGTTGTTGGTGTTGGGTTCTACGCTTGGATACAATGGCGGATCCAGGAAAATTTTTCGCTGGGGGCATTAAGTAAATTAAAGTGAAAAAATAAAAATTAAAAACAAGCATTCAATTATATCTTCATTTGTAACATTTAAAAACGCTTCCTTTTCCACATGACAAATCACACAAGCATTCAAAAACTCATCCCCCATTTGATTCTGCAAATCCGACTTCACATGTTTTATCGCCAAAAAACATCTCTCAACGCTTACCGTAGCTACAGGTAAAACCAAGGCGAGCTTCTATAAGGGATAGACCAAAGGAAATGTAAAATTTTTTACTAAATCTATGTCCAAAAATTTTTACTAAAAAAATTTCTCCATGATCTAAAAATATAAAATGAAATGATTTTTTTTACTAAATCTATGTCCAAAAATTAGAGAAAATTATTTATATATATCAATTGAGAATTAATATCTTTTTTAGAGACTAGATCAGAGTCATGAATTCATATATTTTGGGACAATTATAAATTATAATTAATAATAATCAACATAGTAAACAATTTCATTTTATAGAAAATTGAAATATAAAAACAAATTATCCAAAAGGTTTCACATCTTAAACATAAATCTAATTTTTGGATTTATCTAATTATCTAGATCATAATTTAAAAAGGAAAGAAATTATTTGGAAATACCTGAAATTTGTACTTGTGGCGGACAGGCAGCGACGCGGCGGCCGAGCGACGGCAGTGCTCGACTGCTCGGTGCTCTTGTTCGGATTCCAGTGTTCGGCTTTTCAGTTGCTCGGCCTGCTCCTGCTTCTTGGTTTCCGCAACAGCCAAAGTAAAAGGGGAAGCCGTAATAATTTTAAGGGAGTAGATTTAATTTTTGGGGATGTGGACAATTGCGCCACTTTTGGAATTGAGTCTTTAGCCTTTAGATAATTAATTGGTTTGGGCCAATTTTTGGACTGGGGGTAGATTTTTTTTGCTAGGAGCAATTATATATAAAAATTAAAAATATGCAAATATATATATATATATATATATATATATATATATATATATATATATATATATATATATATAATTGACTGGGGGCAGCTGCCCCCATATTCTATAGGGTAGATCCGCCCATGCTTGGATAGGGCAGCAGAAATACAAAAATTTTGGGTCTGAACGTAGATCCACCCAGGACCTCTTATGATTATTATAAGTTATTGTTTAGAAATATACCTTTCTTGGCGAGCAAGTAACGATATGTGTAGGTTGATGGATTGATCCAAGAGCTAGCCACAAAAGTATATGACACACGAACAATGAAGAGTGTTCTAAAGAAAATTATGCTAGTAATTTTTCTCTAGAATATTTCTAAAATATAAAATATTTGGTGTAAAGTATTAAGAGAACAAAACAAATTTTTCCTCTTAAAAATATGCTATGGCCGAAATATCTAATGTGTTAAAAGGGGTGGGATGATCTCCTATTTATAAGGAGCATAATCCCCATTCCTATTCCTAATAGGAATGTACCTTTTAGAGTTTAGGAAGGAAATCAAATCTCATTCCTATTCTACTTAGGAAATTTCAAATGGGATTTAAGGAAGCTTCCAATTTATTTTGTCAACTTTAATTATCATATAATTAACACAAAATAAATAATATAACACTTATATATATATATGCGAATATATATACTTTATTATTATTAAATATATTTGACAAACTTAATTATCACATAATTAAAATGTCCAAATATAAATATTTATTTATATACGTGTTAGTTCATGTATCTAATCACATTGTCACACAATATAATATACACAACATATAAATAAAGTGCAACATTACTCCACTTAAATATTATACATTTTCATATGTTCTATGTGTGTGACCCTATTCTAGGCATCTATAAAATTGGCCATAGTATCGATTAAATTCTACAAGTGATAAGCGGTATCTAGCAACACATTATCACCTCCAAACTATAGATTAAAGCTTTTGGAACAATTCCTTCAACGACACATCCTATTTGTATAACCTTTATCCCTTTATCACTAACATCTTGATTTAACATAAGGTATGGGGTGTGTCACCTTGTTAAAGTTAAATCGATGGTTTACTGATTCTTCGATTGACTTGTGGGATTCAAATAACATATTTATTTGGGCATGGCCATGCACTTCCCAAGTCATATCAATCAGTGGGGCCTAAGATATTATACTTCATTAAAGAAGGGATAAATTCTGTCTATGTCATTCACATCTTCGCTTAAGTTTTATTGCATACCCAAACATAACTGTACATCCACCAATATTTCAGATGACATAAATCATGCCTCAAAGTATACAACTCAACTTACCAAAGAATGTAATGACTTCAAGTCAAAGGATAGTTATAATAATGGTCGCATGAGAATAATATTAACACTTTAACTCAAACCCATATATTATTCTCATAGCGGGTCAATCCAGCAACATATCCAATATGGTTGCCTACGTATAGATTCAGATAACACTTAATCTATAGCCTATGAGACGCAGCTATCTCATCTCATACGTATTAGTCTTGATATATTATGATGTCCGTATTGTCATAATATTCGACTAAGGATATTTTAGACGTAGCCTCTATCTTTGTAACAGCCTCATAATTAGAACGTCGTAGTTCTCATCTATGTTACTAGAGCGCCTACTCTATGGACTAAAGCTATGTTTACATCATACGAGACGACTTAAACAATCTTTAGGGGCTATTGTTCTTGATATAATATAGATATATATGGAATCATAAGTTGGCCTCTAGGGCTCACTTATATTCAACAATCTCCCACTAGCACTAAGGCCAATTATGGTTTCCATGTATGCCTCATGCACGAAGTGTGACCCTCGTGTATAGGTTTTCCCAAAGCCTAGGTCAATAGGTTAAGAGATTGTTTATCCTTTTCTATCTTGCAAATTTTGATACTTTCATTTTACGACTGTTCGTATAATGTGGTGAGATCTAATGACGTCTTGGTTTCTAGGTGTTGCTTCTTTAGCTCATGTAGTAACCCTATCATTGTCAGTACAACGAGATATTGGTTTGTATCGCTGGGAGCAACGCTATCCATTCGTGAGAAGCTACAAAACCAAAATATCTTCCTCTTTGATACTTCCAAAGTTCCAAATTTATCTTGCGTATGACACCATGTCAATACTTGTCAATATATGTTTTGTTAATTTCAACCTACCCTATGGTTGTTCTAAACGAGCTATTTTGTGTGTAACATTCACACTTAAGCCATTTTAGAAAACAATACTCTTTTGTCTCTTCTTAAGAATCAAAAGTCAACTTTTATACTCCCTCCGTCCCCCTAAGATGTTCTCATTTTGACTTTTGGTGGTTTTTAAGGAGAGTTGAAAAAAGGTGAAAGTTTACCATAATACCCTTAATGAAAAATGGGTGGAGTGTATTCAAAGAGGTGGGTGAGGTGTAATAAATAAAGTAAGTGGGGGTAGTTGTGGTATTTTAATTGTTAAAAAATGAAATGAGAAGATCTATTGTGGACAAAGAAAAAGGGCTATTGAGAAGATCTATGAGGGACAGAGGGAGTACTACTCTTAGCTCAGCTTAGACATATATAAAATATATCCTTTTAGAATGAATCAAGTCCGTATCTCATGGTACTCCATGGAACGATTTCCATGCGGTTCTTTTATAGAGTGAGTCTCCAAAAAGGCTTTACCTTGAGATTCATGCAAGTTTCAAAAACTTCCATGTATGTACTGGTCTTAGATTATTCCTAGTTCTTTGATCCATCTATATGGATTCTTCATACTTGAGCACATAATTACTATTTGCATTCATGACTGATAAGTTTTTAATTTATTTTGTCAATGATATGCAACATACTTATTGTGCTCCCACTAGTCTTCAATAAGACTTTTACCCTAGACATATAAGTGCTATAACTGGTTATAGATTTTTCGAAACCCTCCTTTTATCCTTGATAGACTCGTCCATAACAAGTGTTTAAAGTGTCTTCATTCATATGAGACTTACTTTCATTACTTGTTATTTAAGGAAGGAATCGTTTTGGAACAGTTTCCAAGTGCTCTTTCCTTTAAGAGTCTACAATGATTATTTTAATGGTTAAGGTTCAGTAGTATTTGGCAAGGTTACATAATAATCTTTATTAGACTAAATATTTTAGTCACATTATCTAGATAACGTTTGAGGGAACGTCAATTTTCATGATCGTATCACTTTTGCCTTTCCAATTATGTAACTTTGGCATTAATATCACTTGATCTTTATCAAGTGTGCTTTATTAATGCTAATGGCAAGTTTAGATTTCGAAAATTTGAATAGAAAGGGTACTTGGCTATAACCTTTATAAAGATATCCTTATATCTCTAAGTGGTTATCACTTTATTCATAATTTTGTGACAAACTTATTAACTGATTAATATTTGCACTTTGTAGCCTTGGTATAGTTGTTGTATTGTGATATGCTTGTGAGGCAAAATATTTGATCATATGAAATACTTCTATAAATGGAGCAATGATTAGTCCTTTATTGAAATAACCAATAATACTTAAAACAATAAGTAAACATCAATTCGAAATTGAAAATTGATCAAATACTAAAGCTTAAACTAATGCGCCACAAAGCTGCAACCCTTGCATCTTCAAAATCAACACTCCTACTACTTCTCTTCAGTTTCTGCAATGGTTTTCAATACTATAAGTATCGAATACTTTTGAAGAGATTGTAGATTAGTTTAAGTCTTTACAACAATTGTACCTGAAGTAGAAGCTTCACCCTTTTTCTTGGTTGCCAAATACTGCTTACTATTCCTCTTCCAGTGGCCAACTTCACCACAGTGATGACAAATGGAATCTTTAGCCACTCCACCTTTAGGCTCGAGCTTGGAAGAATTGGACTTTGGCTCGGTGTTGCCCTTGCCTTTAGGTCCATTCTTCTTTGCTTTCTTGAACTTCTTCTTGCCTTTTCCTCCTTGAACCAGAAGGACAGAATTCCCCTTTCCTTTCGTCAAGCTCTCTTCAGCAGTTTGCAGCATCTTCAAAAGTTCTGATAGTGGTTTATCGAGTTCATGCATCTCGTAATTAACCACAAACTGCTTGTACAACTCTGGCAATGTTTGCAGAATCAGATCAATTGCAAGTGCAGTCCTTAGTTCGAAACCCAATTTCTCAAGAGTTTGGACGTAGCCAATCATCTTGAGTACATGCGAACCAACGGGGTTTCAAACTGACAACTTGCAACTAAAGAGAGCTTTGGAAATTTGAAATCTCTCCCACTATTTTAACAAATTAACAACTCTCAAGTACGTAACCTATTGATTCGAGACTTCTCCTAAGAGATATCTTAGTGGGCCAAGGTCCATATTACATTTAACTATAGTTGTGCTTTGCATCTTGCCCTACAGTTAAACTAATTAGGTAGGAACTTATTTCCAATTGTAATCCAATTACAATCCTTGGTTTGTTAGGTTGTTCTAAATAAAATCCTATATTGGGCCTAGATCCTTATTTCATTTAACTATAGTTGTGCTTTGCATCTTGCCCTCTAGTTAAACTATTTCAGGTAGGAACGTTTTCCAATTGTAACATTTTACAACTCTAGGTTAGATGAATTTGATTTTATTTTTATTAACCTAACCATGTGCCTCTAAGTTATTCATCTTTTCACCTTAACTGAGTTAAGTTCAACCCGGGGCGTACTCAGTATCCATTATTACGGATTTCGCGTCATACCAATGTAAACCAGGCGTCCCGCTTTGGCGTGTCCGTTGACTGGTCGAAACTGGCATCGACGAGTGAGTTGGCGTCGGAAGGCACAAACTTAATATTACGAGGGATTTTAAACGTGATTTCACCTATGGCATGTGCCGCGCACATACACTAGTGAATATCATACAAACATATATACAAACATGTATAATGAGTAAAACGATAAAGCCTTCACTTGAGATCTCCAGCTTCACCTTCTTTCTTTAAGAATGCTTTAGTCTTGAAGTTCAGCCCTTCTTGCTAAGGTCCTCTTCTTCTTGGCTCCTACATCTTCCTTGCTTCTTCATGGGCTTCTTTGTTTAATCGAGAGAAAAGAATCCTTGTTTTTTAAGCAAGGGGTATGAGGTTTAAGAAGAGATTTAAAACTAGAATTTAAAGATGAGGCACGACACGCAGGCCGTATTTAAAAACCAAACATTCTAAGCCACAACCATGCACCATGCACCATGCATACATTCATACATCACATGCATAAAAACCATACACCGGCAAGCCGCGCTCGCCCCAGACCTAGTTTATGCTAAGGAAAAATAAACTATAAGCCTAAATATTATCAAATAATTTTATTTAACTTTATTTTAAAACTCCAGAATATCCAAAATTTAATTTTGAATTTTCCTGAATTTTAAAATAGATAATTGCCTTAAATATAGGTATTAATTTCGAAATTGGGATTTTAATTCGAAATAAATACTTATACTTTTTTTGAAAATTAATAAACAAATTCCAGAACGTCTATTCTGATTTTATAAGTCTGAAAATAAAATTTCCAGAATTTATAAAATTTATTTTCGAAATTCTATATTTAAATACCCAAAATCAGTCTTCAATTTTCCAAAAATTAATTCCGAGTTTCCAAAAATCAATATTTTCCAAAAATATTTACTTTGGGTCCGCATTGTTCTGAAAATCAAATTTCTGGAATTAAATAAATTTTATTTTGGCTATTTTGGAAGTTGTTTCCAAAAGGAGTTAAATTAATTTCCAAACATAATTTAGAATATTCCAAATATTAAAAAAATCAATATTTTCCAAAAATAAAGTTTTTGACTCATGTACAATCTGAAAACAATCTTTTCCAGATTTTACTTAAATTTATTTTTGGTACTTTCTATTTATTATTTGGCAATCCATAAAACAATTTCCAAAATTATTTGTCGTGTACCATAACTGTACCAAAAATCATTATTCTCAGAATATTATAATATTATTACCAAATATTAAATTTCCATAATTTAAAATTAATTATTTAATTTTCGGGAATTAAATACCAAATTACCAAAACTGTTATTCCCAAAAATTAATAATTAAATACTTAAATTACGAATTTAATTCTAAAACTTTTAAGAACTCTGAAAATCATATTCTCAAGTTCATAAAATTATAATCCCGAATTTTAATTTTCCTTTTCGGTTTAATCTATATTATTACCGAATAAGACTATTTAAATCGGGAAAAATAGAAAATCAAAACCAGAAATTTATTTTAATTTTCCAGAGTACTTAAAATAATATTTTAACATTCCGGAAGTATTAAAATGAATTTTTATAATTTATTTTGTATTTATGTTGTAATTAATCAAATTAACTACAAATCAAACAATACCTTATAAATTAGAAACTAAATTCAGAAAATTAATTTTAAATTTCCAGAGCTTTTAAAATCATATTTTAAATTCTCAGAATGATTAAAATTATTTTTCCATAATCTATTTTGTATTTACCTTGTATTTAATCAAATTAACTACAAACCAAACAATACTATATAAATTAGGAAATCAATTCCGAAAATTAATTTTAAATATCCAGAGATCTTTAAATCATATTTGAAAGTCTCATATGTAATAAAAGTTAATTTTAGAATTTTCGAAATATTTTAATTGGTTAAAACAGTTTTTAACCCATTAACCCGAAAAATAAAATAAATCCAAAATTTAATTCAAAAATCATATTTTCGAATTTTATAAAGTCCAGAATCATATTTTGGCACCTTCTTGAATTTTGGATAATTTTCGAAAATATATACACATATATTTTATTTTATCAATTATCAAAAACCCTAACGGCAATTAGATCTACAAAACTTATAATTTTCATAAGTCGGCTCTGATACCACTGTTGGGTTCTACGCTTGGATAGGGTAGCGGAAATACAAAAATTTTGGGTCCGAACGTAGATCCACCCAGGACCTCTTATGATTATTATAAGTTAATGTTTTGAAATATATCTTTCTTGGCGAGCAAGTAACGATATGTGTAGGTTGATGGATTGATCCAAGAGCTAGCCACAAAAGTATATGACCTCCAATTGAGACGCACGAACAATGAAGACTGTTCTAAAGAAAATTATGCTAGTAATTTTCTCTAGAATATTTCTAAAATATAAAATATTTGGGGTAAAGTATTAAGAGAACAAAACAAATTATTCCTCTTAAAAATATGCTATGGCTGAAATTTCTAATGTGTTAAAAGGGGTGGGATGATCTCCTATTTATAAGGAGCATAATCCTCATTCCTAATTCTAATAGGAATGTACCTTTTAGAGTTTAGGAAGGAAATCAAATTTCATTCCTATTCTACTTAGGAAATTTCAAATGGCACTTTAAGGAAGCTTCCAATTTATTTTGTCAACTTTAATTATCATATAATTAACAGAAAATAAATAATATAACATTTATTTTATATATATATATATATATATATATATATATATATATATATATATATAATATACGAAACATATATATATATATAAATATATATGTATGCCGAACATACACATATATATACATATATATTTACACACACACATATATATATAAAATAATTATGTTATATTTTGTTCCTTAAATAATATTTGACAAACTTAATTATCATATAATTAAAATGTCCAAATATTAAATATATATACAAATATATATATTTCGTGCCTTAATAATAATAAAATAATAAACAATTTATTATTCACATATATATCCGAATATATATACTTTATTATTATTAAATATATTTGACAAACTTAATTATCACATAATTAAAATGTCCAAATATAAATATTTATTCATATACGTGTTTGTGTATCTAATCACACTGTCACACAATATAATATACACAACATATAAATAAAGTGCAACATTACTCCACTTAAATATTCTACACTTTCATATGTTCTATGTGTGTGACCCTATTCTAGGCATCTTTCCTCTTTCCTCAATTTCTTCGCCTCTTTCCTAAATTTCTCTCCAATTATTTGTTAATTGTTGCAAATTGATGATTATTGTTGCTTATTTGCTTGTTTACTTGAGATTAAGTGCTTTTTACTTTCTCTCTTAGGGTTTCTCGTTCTTCTCATGCTCCAACCCTAGCCACCATGTCGGATCGTCGAGGTAGTAAACATTTGCGCACAAAATCTCATGACGGTGAACCATCAACCCTAGAGGAACGATTTGTTTCTTCATTTGTCTTTCCGAGAGGTGATTCTAAACGCCTCTTCTATAATGATTTCTTGAATCGTCCTATTTTGACACCCAAATGCGTTCTTCATTCCGTATTTTGTCATCTACCATTTCAAGATGCCACCATTTTCATTGATAGACTTGGTGTTACTTCTTTTGTTCGTGAGACTTTTCCTGTGTTTTGTCCAAATCTAATTCAGTTGTTTTATACAAATCTCACCTTCAACGGACGGGTCATCAAAACCTCCGTTAATGGCACCGACATTGAGATGACTCTCAAGGATATCGGTGAACTTTTCAAATTTTCCTTTGACGGATGTGATTTCCACAAGTTCACATCTAAGGATTTCAAAACCTTTTCTTCTTACGACACCATTACCGAGGTGTGCCTTGAAGAAGTTCTTGGGCGAGAACGCCTAACCGTTGGAGGTCTTAAGCCTCATTTTCGAATTCTTCATTACTTCATTTTGAAAGTATTAGCTCCTCGTAAGTCGAGCCATTCCAAAATACTTTCATCGGACACTCGTCTTCTCTTTGTGTTTTTGAACAATATTAAAATCAATTGGGCAAAATTCTGTTGCAATAACCTTCTTCTCATGAAGTCAAAAGGGTCTCTTGGGTATGTGTTCCCGATCATGAACATTTTGAGATCTTTTGGAGTGCCTTTAAAAAACATCCACGTCCAAAAGAACCATATGTGGTACATCGATGTCGTAGCCTTCAACCGCTCTAATGTACCAAGGGCCGTGCAAGAAAAAGGAGAAGAAGGAGAAGAAGAAGGAAAAGAAGAGGGTGAAGAAGAACATGACCCGGAGGGCGAACCGGCGCATATCCAAGAAGTCGCTCAAGTGGAATCGACACGGCGCTCCTCTCCTACTCGGGCGTCACGCTCTACTTCATCGCGTCGCGCTGATCGTTCCATCCTTCAACGGATTTTAGACGCCGTGACTTGCACTCGCACGGATGTGGCACATAGTCGTATGGAAGTGACCATGCAAGGCCATCGTCTCTCACGGCTTGAGCAGCGGATGACGGAGATAGAGCGACGACCATATTTCGGACCGCATCACAGTTACAGTGGTGGAT